CAAGTCTAATATCTCTAATTTTATTTACTGAAAGTAAACATATCAACACATTCAGGATATTGGGCATTGGGGGGGGGGGGACGACAAATCCAAGTCTCTGCCACTTTCTTTCTGAATTTTTCCCCACTCCAAAAATATTTTTGGCTTTGAGATAATGACGCCTCATTCTATTCTCACACTCTGTCCGTGACTGGAATTGCATCCTCAGATGCCATCTCAAACAGGGCGATCAGAAGACCTACCTTCACGGAACTGCCTCCTCCTTTTGGCCCCTGAGCTTTCTTGTCCGCTGTGTCACTGCCAGAAGATGCTCCTCCTTTAAAGACATAAGAATGGAAAGCAACAGTGAATCGGTGTGGAGAGCTCACCTGGTTGCACCTCCATTCACTGAATCGGATGGGCAGGGCTGGACTGAATGTTTTGGGTGCATCTGAGCTCCAGGCTATCATGCCTCACCTGGAAGAATCAGACAGCAAGCAGGAAAATGTTTGGTTGCAAGCTTGGTTGCAAACATTTCCTCCCCATTCGAGGAGATATTTTCAGTGCACTTTGGATTGTACAGCGTAACTACCAATCCAGGCTACTAACATTCAAAGACACTTCAAGCAGGAAAATGTTAGAATGTGTTGGAAGGAAAATCCAGCTGGTTCAGTTCCAAGCCGTGAGGAAGGCACTGGAAATAAAATGGAGACTGGAGGCCGATTGGAAAGAAGGTCCATTTATTGATGAAGCAGAACCACCAACCACATGTGATTCTGGTAAAGCTGACAAAATGGGAGTTGAGAGTGAGTGGCTTTTTATACCTTCTGGATTCCTATGGGCCATGTAGGGGTTCATGCCTGGCTCTAGAGGCAAAAGGGGAAATGCAAATCCTAGGTGTTTCTCTGAGCTAATTGTTTCTGTTCGTTGCTTATCTGAGTTTCTGTCTTGACCCAGTCTTTCTGAAATCTGCATTTCTAAAAGCTGGCCTCCTGAGTTTCTGTTTGGGTCAGAGAAACTGGGGCTGCTTTACGCCTCTCTTAAGAGCATGTCTCTCCATTTCTCCCTTTGGGGAAATATAATATTCTGCTTCTTTTTAACATTTCCCCAAATGTTTCATTCTTCTGACTGTGGGGGGGGGCACCCTTCACACAATACATACCCCACACACCGTGTCCATAAGGACCAATTTCACTTAGCATCCAGCCTAAAAGGGAAATTTTAGGATTGAATAGGAATAGGAATAGAATAGAATTCTTTATTGGCCAAGTGTGATTGGACACACAAGGAATTTGTCTTTGGTGCAAATGCTCTCAGTGTACATAAGAAAAATAAAACAGAATACATTCATCAAGAATCATAAGGTGCAACACTTAATGATAGTCATAGGATACAAATAAGCAATCAAATCATACTGGGGAACTATCAATATAAATCGTAAGGATACAAGCAACAACGTTACAGTCATACAGTCATAAGTGGGAGGAGATGGGGGGATAGGAACAGATTGGTGACAGAGGAAAAAAGCTATTTTGTAAATTTTTGTGAATTTCCTATTTTATGATTCACACACAAACCCCTCATTTCGTGAATTTTTGGCTGTCCTGGTGGGAGGATGGAAGCCCTGCACATCCTGCTTACACCTCTCATTCTATGCTACCCACAAGGTTCAAAAGCGACGCGTTTGTCAAAGCTAAACCGGGCGAGCCCCTTCTTCCCAGGCATATCCAAGAACTACAATTCCCAGAATTCCTTGCCCGGCCACCTTAAGGCTAGATCGTTTCATGCTGGCCGAGCAGAACTGGCCGGCTCCTCTCCCAGTAGGACTGGGAAGAAGAAACTGAGAGAGAAGAAATCGGAAGGCCCGGCCCCAGTTCTCACCTTTTGCCGCTTTGCCGCCGCCTTTCCCTTTCGGAGGCATCTTTATGGGTCCTTCCTGCCTTTCTACAGCATGTAGAGTCGCTTCCCTGTGACGTCACCGCACGCGACTGTAAGAAGCAAGGTCCCCCCCACGGCGCAACCGCCCTGGGAAGTGCCTGCAGGCATATATTTATAATTTATATATAACTGTATAATATCTATATATATAATATTCCAATGGACAATCCCTCATTACAGAGCTCGTTCTCTTTTCTTCTCCTAGAAGGGAGTTGCTGTTGTCCAATTCAGATGTGGAACACTGGGGGTGTTATTTTTTATAAATATACTAGTTAATATTTTAATATATTTAAATATTAATATTTTCATATTTTTTAAAAAAATACTTTTCCAAGCATTTGGGGAAGTGAACATGCCTCAGAAGCTAAGTTTGGAATTTTTGTAGGAAGATCAAACACTTGCTATTTTAATACCTTTCCTTTCACTTTAAAGAGATTGATCTGGATTTTTTCTTTTTGTTCTGATCTCCCCAAAATGTTCCCTGTAGTGTCCACGCTTGACTCCAAATTCAACAAGTTTGAAACCTTCACTCTTTTGACACTGACTCCACACACAATACTTTTTTTGTTGCAATGTTGCAGAAATTTCTGCTTCTAAATATTGAGCATTTCCATATTATGAAACAATGTGAGAGGCCAGAAAATAAATGTCTCCAATGCCATTATTGAATGTTTTATTGTATTGTATTTTCTTTTAGCTGCTCTCGGTGGTAAAAACATTAAACAGAGGCCTGAGTGTGTCATGTTCAAAGAAATTATTAAAATGCTTTTAGCCAACGTGAGTTGTAAAAAGTATCAAAGATCCAAAGAATAGGGTCAGTAGTTCCCTCCCAAAGTTGTGCATGACAGTCCTTTGAAAAAAGGCTTGTTTGGATAATGAACAAATAAATAAAACGTCCACAATCTTACAGTCCTTAAAAACTGACCCCCAATTTTCTTGATGCAGTTCAAGGACTGGCTTTCCCAAAAAGGAAATGTATCTATGCGTACTGCAAATATTGCACATTCTATTAAGAGTTCAAAGGATTCCTGGATTCCTGTTCAGGTTATAGTCTTCAATCCTTCAAAACCACAAAATTTCCATCTCTTCTCGAGGCTCGCTCCCACCCCGTTCATCTCTTGTTTGAAAGTATGCTGGAGTCGTGTCATGAGGTTTTCCACTTCTGTGGCGCAAATCTACAAAAAAAAAGAGACAGAGAGAGAGAGAAGCAGCATGTCATTAAAACTAATAAACTGGGATAACCCCCCGACGTTTGGGATGGTAAAACTGCCATCAAAATCCCCTGGTTTAAGTTGATTGCCATGTTCGACGTCTCAATAAATTACTTTTCCTTTTGCCTTTTTAAGAACATCTTCAGATCTTTACAGAATGGCACTAGCTGATGAAAAGTAGTCCGTCTCTGTTGTAACCGGAGGGGAACGGTTCCCAACCTTGATAACTTTAAGATTTTTGAACTTCAGAGTGATGTAAGGAGATACAAGATCCCAAGGGAGAAGCATGGGAGATTTATCAAAAAGTCAATAAGAACTGAAATTCTAAAAAGGGCAAGAGAAGATGAATACATATAGAATACTTCTTAATATGGTGGCTACTTCATCAAGGATTAGAAAAAAGAAGTAGAAAGTAGAAATTGAATAGTCTTATGCATACTGATATATAATACAATATATTGTAATCACTATGTAAACATAAATGTTAGAAGTTGAAAGATTATGATTTTCTATATCTAAATAGCATTATTATTATTGTTATTAGTATTGTGGATAAAGTACATTGACCCACACAATACACTATATTTTTTTAAAATGTATTTCTGTAAGCCACCCGGAGTCCTTCGGGATTGGGCGGCCTATAACTTTATTAAAGACTAAATACTTAATACTGTCCACTAAGCACTTACGGATATTTATTTAAAGTACTTTAAATAAAATTCTCTCTCTCTCATTCCCTCTCTCTCTCTCTCTCTCTCTCTCCCTCCCTCCCTCTCTTTGTAACAGGTCCACTGCATCCTCAATTACTCAGAGTCTGAATTCACACATATTGTCTTAGCATACCACTGAACAAACTTCAATCACAGGAGTTCACATTATGCTAAGCCAAAAACTGTGTCTTATGAAGCACAATGTTTAGGTCTGCTTGTCACATCAAGTTATGTTTTTGAGCATGGCCTACTGGAATAAACCAGGCATTAAAGGAAGTGATAAACCATCAATCCCAAAGATTTAGATCGCACAAAATAAAAAATAAAAAAGTAACATCTTAGGATGAGGTGCAAACTCAGTCCATAGAAGTTCAGGCACACAATTTGCATTAGAGGAAAGTCCTCAATTTCTAAGTTTGTTTAGTGACTGTTCAAAGTTACAACAGCACTGAAAACAGTAACTAATGACCGAATTTCACACAACTGTGGCAGCATGCTCAAGTCACATGAACAAAATTCAGAAGCTTGGCAACTAGTTCATATTTACGACAGTTGTGGTGTCCCGGGGTCATGTGATACCCTTTTGCGACCTTCTGACAAGCCAAGTCAAAGGTTCATTTAACAACCGTGTCACTAACTTAACAACTGCGGCGATTCACTTAACAACTGTGGCAAGAAAGATTGTAAAATGGGGCAACACTCACTTAACAAATGCCTCACTTAGCAACATAAATTTTGGGCTCAGTTGTGGTCGTAAGTCGAGGACTACCTGTACTTGGCTCAAGATGAACCACTCCAAGAAAAAGAAGCAGTCTAAAAGTAGAAAAGACTGTTTGGGTAGCAAAAGCCGAGGTGGCACAGTGGTTAAATGCAGCACTGCAGGCTACTTCAGCTGACTGCAGTTCTGCAGTTCGGCTGTTCAAATCTCACCGGCTC